TTCTAAAAATATTCTATAATTCTAATCCATTGCACCATATAAAAATTTCAGAACTCATGTTTTAGTGTTTAAGGTGCTGAGTCAGCACGATACACACACACACACACACACACACACACACACACACACACACACACACACATTGTTTCTACATTAACCAAAGCCTGGCTATGCAATAAAATAAAATACACAGCACAAAAGTGGAATAAAGCATACAGCACAAAAATGCTTAAACTACACATCTTTTTGGTTCCAACAACATTCCACTTGTCGAAATTTTTCTGCAACTTAACTTATAGGTATATTATACAAGGATAAGAACATCATCGCTACTTTAATGAACTTTAAGTTCATTTAACATCATTTAACATCATCTGATAAACTTTAGATTCTAACAAAATTGCAAAGATAGTACAGAGTTCCCCTATGCCCTATACCCAGTTACCCCTATTATTATCTTACATTAGTATAGCATATTTATTACAATTAATGGTCCAATATTGACATGGTATTATGAACTAGAATTCATACTTTATTCCTCTTTCCTTTTTTTTAACCTGATATTATTTTTGTTTCAGGATCCCATCCAGATACCGCATTACATTGACTTGTCATGTTTCCTTGGGTACCTGTTGGCTGTGACGGTTTCTCAGACTTTCCTAGTTTTTGATAGCTTTGAGAATTTTGAGGAGTACTGGTCAGGTGCTTTTCAGAATGTCCCTCAAGTAAGATTCAGATGATGTCCTCGGGATTAGACTGGGCTCTAAGCTTTCAGGGATAAAGTCAGCAGGAATCCAATCACTGTTGAAGTTGACCTTCATCAGCTGTTGGGGTACTGTCTGTCAGGCTTCCCCACCATGAAGTTACTCTTTCCCCTCCTTTCCATAACTGTGCACTTTAGTTTTCTTCCAAATTATGTTTATTGAGGTCAAGTAGGTTTACATCTTTGTAGCTGCTCCAGGGGTTATAGGTTCAAGCCTCCACAAATGCCTACTTTCTCACCCTGCCACCACCAGTGCCCCAAACATCCTCCACCATGTTCCATTCCCTCACCCTCTCTAGAACTCTATGAATTCTATGATGTATATCAAGTGATACATATGTGCACATACACAATTTCTGGAAAGAAGTTATCACATAAGTCCAACAGTACCTAACTGTTATGGAAATGTATTGTCTTTTCATTTATTTATAAACATGTAAGCAAGTAAGTAAGGACCTATGTGTCCGGGTTGGTTGGCCCCTGGACCACACTTGGAAAATTTGTGGTTAAAGCCAAGTTCGCACTTGACACCAAGGCAACCACTGAGTCAATAACTCCTTCCTATTCACTGACTTCATATGGCTCCAAATTGACAAAGCGCCAGCTTTTCCAGACTGATAAGGTCGTTGTGATAGGCAATAGTTTCAGTCCCTTTTGTTAAAAATAATGTTCTAGCAATTTTCTAACCTGGAAGTCAAAGGAACACTGGAAACTTTCTGAAATTACATACTCAACTCTTGGTTTATTTGTTGGCCATGTCCCAAACTAGGCCAAATTAGAGACTCTTACTGGAATTCACGTGCCTACCACAGTTGCTAGATTAGGAACTCCTCACCAGCGGGGACAAGGTTTTATTACTTCTATATTTCTGCTGCCTAGCACAGTGCCTGGCTATGAATATTCAATGTGTGTGGGTTGAATGAATTGTAAAGGAAATCAAGTACCTTAAACAAATGCTGAACTATGTCTATCATTTTCCAACAGAATTCTAGAGAGGGAGCAAATTGTATGATGTTTTGTAAGGGAAATGTCCACTTTGGTAGCTACAAAATATGCGTCGGAAATAGTACCCCAAGTTGCCATTTCTCCATGCATTAAAGATGTCAATCAGTCCAATAAAATAAAGGCCCCAAAAAGACAAAAGGAGAATTACCTCATTACCTCAACATCTGCTTGAACATAAGCAATCACACACTAGCTAATTTTTTTTAAAGGGACATAATATAACTTTCGAGAAAGACATAATATAGCTAATTATACCATTCACTAGAAGGGAACATACAATGTTTTGAAGTAATTCAGAAGTGGGTGTGATTTATAAGACATAGAGCTTAGGGAATGGTAAGTATAAATTAGAGATTGTTCATATTATGACAGACTCCGTCATTACATTTCACAACTTTTGTCAAAGGCAACCTTATTCACCACACCACTGAAGGCTTCACATTAGGGAAGGCTGCTGTCAGCTCTAGCAGTCAGAGTAGATAGGAATATTCTTTCTGAACCCCCTCCGAGGGAATGGGTTCCAAAGTGAGACTTAAAACTCACTAAGGAAAGACCCATAGGATGAATCCTAAATGGCCAATCATCACGTAAAAAGATTTCAAACCTTACCAGCAACCAGACATCCAAATTTTTAAAAAGGTGCCATTTTTGTTAAGCAGACTTGCGAAAACTAAGAAACTATCAGGCTATGGAAATGCGTGAAACTGCCAGTGGTCAACACTGACCAGTGTGTGGGAAGTGGGCACTGCTCGGGAGAATGTGAACTGGCACAGCCGCCGTCGGGAGTAATTTGGCAAAGTCTAGCAAAACGACATGCCCTTCTAATCCAACAGTTCCATTTGTAAGTGTCTACCCTAGAAAAAAATAACTGGAATTGTACAAATTTATGTGTATGATGACTTGATTAATGACTGTCCACTCTACTAGACCATAAATTGGGTGAGAACAAGGACTTGTTTGATTTACCATCTATGCCCCTCATGCCTGCCTAACACATGGATCTCATCTATGGTAGATACTTGGTAAGTATTTGTTAAAGGAATAAATGACTCAGTTCATTCAGCATTTAAAAAGGAAAATAGAGTATTTCATTGATGATGGGTTTTCTTGTTCATCTTAAATAGGGCAATGAAATTATCCACAATATTAACAGGTAGTTAAAAGTACTGTTTATCTTCAAATATAAATCATAAACACCCTCAGGTTACAAAAGTCATTTGTTATCACAATCTGTGATCCAATAAGAAAAAAATACCCTGGTTTTGAGAGATATAATAATCACACTGTGGGCTAAAGAAAAATCCCAACACCTGTATAACTAGACCAACTATTCCTGGAAAAAACTTTTTTTAAAAAAATCCCAAAGTCTGTTTTATTACCTTTGATATGCCCACAGGCAAGGGACCAGATGGTCTAAAGATTCCAACGCCATGAGTGTGTCTTCCAATACAATATGGAAAGAACCAAACGTGTAGAAATGCTTCCCTTTTCTCATATTTCAAATCCAACAAAGAGACAGAGAATGTGCCCAAAATCAAATTTAAACAACTTTTTGTAGGTAATCTGCACTGTTAATCTAACCTTGAAATTATGTAGAGTAAAAAAAAAGTGAAACGTTTTGTTTATCATTATTTGAAAACTTGCCGTTCATCAAAAAAAAAAAAAAGAAAGAAAGAAAGAAAGAAATGTGGTGTCCATGACAGACATTCCCATTAGTGGAAGGTCCAATAGTCTAGAATGTGATTAAGTGCCTTTACGTTATTGGTAAGGGGGTTAGAAAGCCTACTCAAATACCGATGAAATTCAGCCCCTCGGTAAAGCACTTGAGACATCCCATGGGAAAACTTTCCCCACCCACTAGAGTCACAGATGTTTGTGCTTATGACTTTAGGCTAATGGAGGACAGGCATGGAAGATACCAGGAAGGCAAAGGCCACTAGCATTTATGCAACACCAGAAGATGCTAGATACCACAGAAGAATGTGGTATGTCCATTTCAGGGAGATTAATATTTCCCCCAGGTCAAACACTTAGTAAACAATAGTGTTGAGATATGTTCCCAGGAGGATGAGGGATCCAGTGTCCTTACCAATGGTATCAGTTTGTGGCTTCAAGCAAGAGGTTACAGTCCTGGACAGGACCCCAGAAATCACAGGGTTTAACCCCCGCCTTTAGTCAGGTAAGGCTTTACTATTACCTTTACCATTATTTTCTTGAGCATAACAAGACCTTTGGAAGGGAAGTGGTTCTTGCAAGTTCACAGAACTGATCAGTCCAGACATGAGAAGTGAAAGAATTGGAACAGAACACCAGAGCCACAGAGCCCAGAGCAGGGCCCCTTCCTCCATGTGGACGTGTCAGCAAGTTATTCAGCAAAGCACATGTCCCTGCACATTTCTACTTCCTAAATCTATGGCTCCTCTCTTGATGCATAAGCTCAAGCTACCCTCCTCAGAGCAGCAACACTATTTTCAAATGCAAAATGTTAGGTTCACATTTGACCCGGAATCTCATCAGAAGTGTGGTCCGCGATGAAAATGCTCTATGAAAACAGTCCTTTATGGAGGGGTGATTTCCAGTGCCCGGGTGGCATAGGAATGCATATCCACGGCCTGGCTTTCCTGTGGACTAGAGCCAAGCCTTAACTCAGGAAACCCAGCACAGGCCGGGTGTTGACTCAGTGACTAATAAATTGCTAAAAATGGGAAGTGCTAAAACACATCAGGCCTGAAAATCCTAGCTGGGTAAGGAAAGAAGTAGACCACCCCAGAATGAAAGGCTGGGAAGGCTGGGAAGCAGCAGAGCGGGCCTTGCAGCGCCACGGTGCCAGGGTGGGGCCAAGGCGGGGAGCAAGGCCAGCGCAGCCGACCACGGATCACGCCGCGGGCGCCCAGATATCCAGCCCCACCTGCTCCTCCGGGGTGCCAGGGGGTGGGCAGCGACCGCGGGCCCTCGTCCGCGCCAGACCCTGGTGCTTCCACCTCCGCTCGCCAGCTGAGGCCCCGGCGGGTATCGCGCTGGCACCGCGGGGCCGACTCCCCGGGGCACCCGCCGGTTACCCGCGGCCCGGGCTCCCCGGTGCGCGCGGGCTTCTCCCCCGCGGCAGCGCTACCGGGCCCCCCACGGCGTCGCCCCCCTCCCTCCCCGCGCCCCCCGGCCCCGACCAGCGCCCCGGAGCCGTCCCCGCCCGCGGGCCCCGGCCGCCCGCACCTGGCGCGGCGCGCCCGCCTACCTTGCTCCTTGAGGCTGGTGATGAGCTGCAGCTGCTTCTCCTCGTCCGAGCTGTTCATTTTAGCAGGTGGGGCCGGGAATGAAAGGAAAGGAGGGAGCGACGAGGGGTGCAGGGGGGAGGGGGAAGAAGCAGCAAGATGCCGGGGCGTGCGCCGGGCTCCCCGGAAGTGGGGTGTGCGCCCGCTCCTCCCCCGCCGGCGCCGAGCGCGCTAGTGAGCTCACCCGGCACCTCGGGGCCGCCGCCTCACCTGCCGGGGGCGGGTCACCTGGGGAGGAGGGGCCGGCTGGGGGCGCGGGAGGCGCCGCGCGTGCTCCCGGCTGCGGCGGCCGCGCGCTTCCCCGGGCCGGCGCCGCGGGAGGGCGCAGGGACCCGCGGGATGAGCTTTGGCTGGCGTCTGCACCCCTTTCTTCGCCTCCACCCCTACGACACCCAGGCGCGTAATCAGCAGAAAATCGGCCCTGGGTCTGCAACGTCTTGGGAACCCCACTTTGAGCGCAGCTGTACCGCGGACGCGATGCGTAATAGCGCCCAGGCGTCTCCCCGGTTTTCACATAGGGGACTCTGGGGTGCGGGGGCAAACCTAGGTGATCGCGGGGGCAGGCCGAGTTGGGGTGCACTTGGCACCTGCAACCGCAGACTGACACTCCAGCAGCGCGCGGGGTGAGTTAGCGCGCGGGGAGCACAGGAGGGCGTGGTCCGGCTTTCCAGGGTCCCAGCCCCTTGCGGGGCGCCTCTGCGCGCGGCCCCTGCAGCCCCCGGGTCGCCGGCCGGGGCGCGTCTGGCTCGCACACGCAGGCCCTTCTTGAAGGAGCTGCCGCTGCAGCCGGACAGAGGGAAGCCCAAAGGGAAGCATTTGTCCCACTGCACGGCTCTCGGTATTGTGGGAAGCCTGCTCTGGCTTACACCCTGACCAGAGGAGAGGCGGCCAGTCCTCCAGATTTCAAAATGGCTCTTTCCCGTCCCCAGTTGCTGGTTAGCCATTGGTTGAGTGTGCTGACCTCTTGGAACTTCATGTCAAGAATGGGAATAATACTAATGACCACTTCCCAGGGGGAGTTATAAGGGTTAAGAGGGGAGAGGAAGATATACTAAATACCAAATCCAGAATTTCGCACACAATAGGTGTTCTTTTTTAAAATTAAAATTACAGGTCTGTGAAAAAAGGGGTTGTGGATGCTAATTATAATCTAAAGCAGGCGCAGTTCCTGCACACTGATCATTAGGCATCCCAAATAAGTCCAAATTGAATTACTCACGGAACTTCTTGTTTTTTTTTTTTTTTTTTTTCTCAATACAGCACAGCTCTTAGTGTGGGACTAAACCCGCAGAGCGCTTTCCTCCTTCCTCGCTTGCTTTTTTTTTATGCAAATACCCAACTCCATTTACTGAGTGGGTCTCCCCATGACAGAGGGGGAGGGAAGCTGGAATATGGGTTTATGCTGAAACTGTTATCTAATACTGCTTACCAAATATTAGCTTAAAGCCAACTTTGGGGAAAAAATGACAACCTTCTCTTCCTCGAAAAGGTGATACAATATTTTAGCATGGGTGACCTAGTAACGGAATGATCTAGAAGGGCAGCATGGAATTTTTAAATAGAGTGAATTAAAATGTTGAATCTCTAAGAACAATTCTGGGAGTTTTATTACTCAAACCTTTCCCTAGTTTTTCAAAGATAGCCTGAAATAATTGCAGAGCAGCTACCATAAAGATACCAGAGAGAGAAACACATGACCTTTGCTGTGAGATTATATCATAATCCTTAGAGTTTAAAGATGACCCAGGATTCAACTACATGAACATATGAGTGATATATTCTTTACCTGTGTAAAGCAAAATCTTTTTTTTTTTTTTTTCAGAAAAAAGAAATTTATATGAAAATATTGTAAATGTCCTGGGATGCCCACCCCCGTCCCCGGTCAAGCAGGCAAGAGTCGAGTCACCTGCACAGGCTTAGAGCAGTTTTATCATGTTCTGTGAAGAAACATGCAGGAATCTGATGCCTGCAGGTAACCCAACCTTTCACCCTTTACTGATGATCCAGAAGGCAGCTAAAGATGACTTAAACAATGAATACATAGCATTTGTGTCTCCACAATACATTCTTTAGAAGTCAGGAATATGATTAAACCTCAATTTTTGCCCTCCTCTGCACATAGACAGCATGGACACTTCTTTAGGTGAAGATATGGAATAGGAAAATGTCAACCTGAAAACAAAACCAGAATCTCCCTGTCAAGAGTCATTTTTTACAGTGACTCTCTTCATTTTCTTCTACATGCATGCTACTCTGTAACAAGATATATAAAATGAAGTCAAAGATGTGATTGCTGGGGCAGTTCTCACAGAGTAAAATCTGTGGGACTATTTTCCAGTTTCTGATCCTCACTTTGATTATCTAATGAAGACCTCAACTAACAATCATGGAGGCTTTAATTTCAACGAACTGGGTAACAAATTGTGATCATCTTGTTTTTGTCCAGAAACCAGGAAACCTGTTAAACCTGGTCAGTCACCCTGACTATTGGGCAATACCCCAGAGGCATCCTCCAAATCTAAATAGTCAGAAATATTTTCTCATACTCAATCATATGTGGTCAGAGTGTCCATTAAATACCTGAATTTACTCACAAAGTTCCATTTTTTAAGTGGAACTTATAATCATACAGTAATTAGGTAATACTTTTGGACATTAAGATGAGTTAATTAATTACCAAATCTATAGTGAAACTGAGTGCTTTGGTTCCACACTGAATCTATAGTCCCCTGAAATTAATCCTGTTTACTTTCTTTGAAATTAAACTAGCCTTCTGAAATACAATATGGTATTATCTTGAGGGCACAGAATGAATTATTAGGATGGCTATTAGAGCCAATTATTGGAATTCAGGTCTCCGATTTCCCATTACAATATGGTTTATTTATATGCTATGAATATTGATGGAAAGGATAGAAGTGATATAATTAGTTTTGTTCTGCTTAATAATGCACACAGGGATTTATATTGCAGGCATAGCATTGGATTTTTAACCTCCAAATAACACGTGATTAAAAACCTTTAAAAATATGAGTGTGTGTGTGTGTGTGTATACACAGAGAGGGAGAAAACACACACAGAAGGGGAGAAAAGGACTTTAAGAAATGAATTGAGGGCCTCCCTTGGTGGCGCAGGAGTTGAGCACTGGACTGCGAAGGTGCCCGCAGCCTCTGCAGCGCAGGTTCAATCCCCGGCCGCTGGTGAGGGTCCCACATGGCACGCAGACCTCTCCTGCCGCGCCCACTACTCCCCTCAGCAGTGTACTTCATCAGTCTGCCTGTTCTGTTCCCTGCTCTGGCTCTGGTGAATCCTCTTACCCTCCCACACTTCTGACTGTACCCAGTGCTTGTATAAATAAGATAAATCTAAAAAGAAAAAAAAGAAATGAATTGAAAGGATATGTACCAAACTTGGGATAATGGCTACCTCTAAAGAAGAAAGTAGAGAACCAGTCCAAGGCCTAGTTAGGTAGAGTGGGAGACAGCAGTGGTCAAAAGGAATTTCTCTTTGGTGGTGTGTTATTAGGAAGTTAAAGTAAAATCACATTATTTAGGTAATCTTTTGACTATATATACAAAAGTGATGGAAATAAAATAGTGACTCCTTTGAGCCACTAATTCTACATTAAGGAATCAATCTTATGAGTCTATATGTTCAGAGCTATTTACTGTTAATTATGATATAAGATTGAAGTATTATTTAATAATAAAAAGGATTAAAGTATTGATATGTGCTATAACATGGGTGAACTAAGTATGAAAAGCCAGTCAGAAGCATCCAATACTGTAGGAATTGGTTTTTATAAAATATACAGAATTGGCAAATCCAGAGAGAGAGATGATGAGGGACCATCTAAAACTGTAAGCACTGGAAACATGGACGGGACTGCTAATAAATGTGGGGTTTCTTGTTCAGGTAATGTTTGCGCAACTCTGTGAATAAACACAAAACCGTAGAATTCTATACTTCCCATAGGAGAACTTTATATGATATGTGAGTTACATCTCAATAAAGCTATTATAAGAACATTTTTCAGAGTATAAGAACACTTTAATATACAACTTGTATAACTATTAAATTTAGAAATTAAAAAATTATTCAAATTTTTATGTATATTTGTTTGACTTTTTGCTATACATTTTATATATACTTTACCTTGTACTAAAATAATCTATATATTTATTGAAAGCCATTCCATTATATCAATGGATATTAATGATTTTCAAATTCTTAGGGATTTAAGTTGTTATTAATACTTTTTTCTTCATAAACAGTACAACATTAAATAATAAAAACTACACTTAGGCAAATCATAGTCAAATTATTAAAAACTAAACATATTCAGGTTTTAAAAATAACCCAAAAACATACAAGGAAATCAAAAATAAAAGTGAAAGTAATGGCAGAATTTTTATTATTTGATGTTGTAGTAATTAAAGTATTCAACACTAAACAATGCAAAATTCACAATATTCAGCATCTAAAAATTATAATAAGCAAAGAAGCAAAAAAATATGATCTACAATGAAGAGAAAAATAGTCAATAAAATCACCCAGAAATGAGAGGTGATGAAATTTGCATAGAAGAGCCTTATAAGTAATACTATTTTAAGTCTTATTAATATGATCAAAGATATAAAGAGAAAAAAACAAGATGAAAAGAGGAGGAATTATAGAAAACAACAGTCCAATGGAACTACAAAAGATGACAAATACAAGATCAGAAATGAGAAAAAAAAACATGCGTATGTGATAGGATTTACAGCAAAATAGACAAGCAGAAGAAAAGATCAATGATGAAGAATAGCAATAGAAATAATCCAAAATGAAACTGAGAGAAAGAAAAAGATTTTTTGAAAAATTAAGCACCACAGTCCTGAAAAAGAGGATCGGCCAATTGAACATGAAATTTATATCCCAGAGGAGCTGTAGAATGGTATGTAAAAAATTTACATGTGACAAAAGATATGGGTAAACATATCCCATATTTGATAAGAGGTGAAATTATAGATTGAAGTTTGCTGACTAGTTCCATGTTAGGATCCTCAGGATAACTGCAGATTTCTCATGAAAAAAAAAAAAAAAAAAAAAACCACCGGGAAAACTATGAGGCAGGTGAGATG